TAGTCCTGCATGTGGAAGAGCCGCAGGAAACAACCCAAAAAAACAAAACCAAAAAACAAAACCAAAAAAAAAGGGAATAAGCTACGGGGATGGTGGGAGGGGCGGCGGTCGGGTGAAGTACCGCACAAGGTCACACTAGTTATTTGCATGGATTGCGTGGGAATTAGGTTCACTGTTCAGGGGGAGTCAAGCCACCGATCGACGGGAAATAAACTTCTGAGACGTGAACGGACGATGAAAGAAAATAAAGAAAAAAAAACAGGCGCAATTCCTCCTCTCTATTTTCGACCCCCATACACTCCTATCCACACGCCCATGACGGCATACGCGCGTTATAGCCAGTCTCTCTCCACCTCGCTTTTCCACCACTTCGTTTTCCTTGCTCTTCAGCCCGCGCTCCCCGGCCCCTTCTCTAAGTAAGGGCGGGAGAGGGAGTAACTTTTTTGGATGCATACGAGGAAAGGAGCATGTCAAGCAACGCAACGAATACGACAAAATCAAACAAAAAAGCTGCAAAACCAATAAGAACGCGTGCTATCCACACACATGTCTCACACATCAACGCAGAAGCGCAGAAAGTTGTGTAGAAACAAAGCCGAATGAGGAACAAAGTAGGTGTGAAGAAGGCATCAGCCACAACAATAAAATAAAGAATGCCAGAGAGATCTGAAGCAAATGAGTGCATGCACTGGTATGTCTGCGTCTGTGACTGTGTGTGGGCGTGGACAAAGAGAGTGAAAAGAGGTGGGTGATTAGTTTTCACTCCAGTTTCCTTCCGCTTCGTGCCTGTTTGCCCCCATCGTCCAGCTCAACTGACGCACCAGTGACAGCACCCACGCTGGCCTGAGTCACAAAATCAGAAACTTCCAATGATGCCGCCATTCCTCTTCGTGGAGCCGCACCGTGCGCAACCCCACAGAAAAGCGATGGAGTACGTCGCCGCGCGCACACATTGACACAAGCCAATGCGTACGTATCACTTCTCCAAAGAGAAAAGACAACACAAGGAAATGGCACCCAGACATATTTACCCCTTCTAGTCCGCACCACCCATCCCCTCCACACCCTCCTAAAACGGCATCGAAGACACCCCCGCAGCACAACAACAGAGAAGCCCAAGCCAAAACCAGAAAAAAAAAAGAGGGGGAGGAGGGGACAGCACCCCAGAGAAAAGAAACAAAGAAAGAAAAAAAAAGCTGGAGGGAACACTCAATTAAACCCCGCTTCTATTCGTCTTTTCGCGTGTGTTTTTTTGTTATTTTTTTTATTATTTTTTTTTATTTTTCGTATGCTCTTGTTACTCTGACAGCAGGCAGAAAGAAGGGGGAAAGAAGAAAAAAACTTGCGCAGCAATATGGTTGCACACATGCCATCCCTTCTATTGTTCATCCTCTTTAAGCCACACAGTCATGGGGCGTCCGTTGACGTATATACGCCTGCATCGGACATGCGTTACTGAATCCGTTTTTGTCGCTGGGGCATCCCAAGTACTGGCAAGGGTTGAATGGGCCGAAGTATTGTTACGGGCATTCCAAATCTCCACACGCCTTGTTGCGGCGCGACTTGAGGACGGCGTTGACACCGCACCCGTGCGATTGCTCCGTGTAGCAGTGGGTGCTGCAGCAGCATCCGCCTTGAAAGGTGGGAACCAGCAGGCGGATTGCGTCATTGTTCCGTTCCGGGGGGCAGGCGGTAGGTTGGTCTTGTTGACATGACCCTGTGCCACACCGGTGTTGTTTTGCGCTGCCGTTACCACCACACTTGGCTCGTTGGAGGTCGACGGCACTGTAGTCAAGCGTCTTGCCTCTTCCTCCTTGTATGACATCACAAAAATCGTTTCTGTGGAAAATTGAGATCTGGGGACGCAGGGAGAGCCGTCTGCAGACGTACCTGCGTACGGATTATTCGTGCGTTGCAGCGGAAGCACAGGCGTCTGCGGTTTTTCAATGGCAAGTGTCAATCCCTTACCTTTCCCCATAGCTGCTAGAGTGGCGGCACCCTTTGCCGTGATGTAACATGGCGCGCCTTTTTGAATGTTGTCTGAGTTATGAATGGCACTCGTACAATCCATGAGCGGCGAAGTAAAGGAGGCGGTGGGAACGCCACGCGGAAAGTTGGACGAGTTAACGGACAGCATGATTTAGTTTGGTTAGCTTGTTAGAGTTCTTTTCTTCGTCGTTGTGGGGGACGTGCGAGTTATGGAAATAGACACCAGGCAGCAAGAACAAAGGAACGGGCACAGAGAGAGAGAGAGAGGTACGACCAATAGCGATAAGAAAGGAAAAGGGCTTGTTTTAAGAAAAAGCAGCATACGAAGTAGGAACTCTCA